AAAGTCATATTTGTATTAAGGAGCAATCACGTTTACCTATGCTCTTATGAAATTTTTGCAGGCAAAATCCAGTCATTTCAGTAGGAATCTGTGTGATTGCGAGTCTTGCATAAGGACAGAAAAGTTCCCATGCAGATGTGATTACACCTTAATAATGTACAAACAGGGCCTAAAACTAACATTTTGCCACACCTGCAATGGCCGGTAAATAAATATTTTTTAAAGACTATGAAACATTTATGTATGTAGGCCTATTTATTTATTTATTTATATAACACTGTTTTATATACCTGCCAACGCTGATTTTTACTCACATTTGGAGCTTGGACAGTGTAAATTTTAGGCCCTGTGTACTAATATATATCATGAGGATACATTGAGACTATAGCACAATACTGACAAGTTTAGCTGCTTTTAGTTAAAATAGCCTAATTTCTGTATGTTTGAGCCATGTGTTGACTAATTTGTAATTTGCCTGAGTTAAATCTGATGAAAGTAAAGTTGCCTAACATGATAATGAACAACCAGCGGTGGAACCCGAAGATCTTATCCCTGGCTCCGGGACTGTGTTTCGGTTTCCATCCTAATGTGAGGCCTACATTGAGACTTGTTGTTAGCTCTTGCACATGCCTATATTGAGGCTTGTCAATATTCGACAGGATTCAAAAATCTACCTGGCTGGAACAGAGGAAGGTCATAATGTGCTCTTATTCATATGAGCAATTCTTGGGAACTTACAAAGCCCACACAGTATGTAAAAATGTTTGTCTCATTTTTAAAGTGCCTTAAATGCTTATTGTTGCAAAACCGGGTTCTTCATGTATCTTTAAGCATTGAAACTTTCTTTTCTTTCTCATCTATTCACTCTGCACCTTCCCCCATGGGTCCAGTCTATAAGGTAACATGGTCACTGTTCTGTCCTGACATTTTGCTAAGTTGTTCTTCAGATTGGACTATTTATCTGTGGAGGCAGGACCTCCCGAAACCTGTGCTGGGGTTCACCTCTGGTCAGAAGGTTGTGTTTGATATCATGTGGTCCCCACACTGTGCTACTGTCTTTGGAGCTGTCAGTGAGGGCAAGGTGGAGATCTGGGACCTGAGAGTCAGCAGGTAAGATCTTATGTTCTTCTATTGAATAACGTTTATCATTTATAATAATAATAACATTATTAACAACTAATATGGGTTTTTCATTTTATTTTAACATAATTTTTGGTGCTCAGTCTTTCTGTCCAGAAGTTTACAGTGTACTCCATTTTTTAACAGTCTGGACCTGACGATTGTGAGCATGACCAGTCCAGGAGTGAATCCGACGGCTCTGCTGTTCACCCCTGAGACAGACTGTGTTCTGGTGGGGGACAGTGAGGGGCAGGTCACTGTGAACAAGCTGAAGAACCTGCCAGCTGGAGGCAGCACACAGGTGAAGCCTTATCTGTTCAGTTCTATGTTGTTCGATCTGTGCCATACTCCAAGTAACCCATTTACTCAAATGTGGAAATCATTTATAGCTCTTGTGTAGGTGGAAATGTTGGAGGATGTAATTCGGTCCACACTGTCCAGCCAACACACATTAGGAAAGACTGACGGAGGTGCATAGGAGGGTCAGGCTGTTTGTCTTTACCTCTTCATCATCATAATTTATATTCTCTGGCAGACTGAGCGACTCCATTTTACATAACAATGGGATTACAGCACATTGCCTGTTTGTGCCTTATTGTGCTTCTTTGTGGGAATAAATATACTCCTACAAAACAATAAGCAATCTTCTTAGGTAAATGTCTAAAAACCTAGACTAAATGTCTAAATCTTCCACTTAATTATAGTATGGTGAATTATTTGTAATAACAGAGATAACAGGCTTGTATTTCAAACAATATATTTTTGAAAGCATTTTTGCATTTAAGTATTGATTGGTAAGGAACACATTTTTTCCCACAATAGTCAAAGTACTATACTGTATTGTCATATGGTAATGTTTTTTTTTCTTTCCATGGGAACCACAGACAGAATGTAAGTGTTTGTTCTATGGTAATGGACAGACAGTTTTATTACCACTAGGCCGCCACATATTACAGCTTATCTACAACATGAGGACCACATCACACTTTTAGAAATGACTCATTACTGAACTGTTTTTCTCTCTAACATCTCTGAAAAATCCATCATCTAAGCTTTTTAGTACAAATCAAACAATTTAGCGAGGAAGATGCAACTCAGCTTAAATAAGGGAGCTTTTAAAAAGAACAGCTGTGACATTATGACAGGAAATGGATCCTGCTTGTTTACTAATGTATATGGGACTTTTTATCCATATGGCATATGGTAATTTTACATTTTAAAACACTTTCCCACATGGGGTTTTGTGTTGAAGGACAAGTTGATGTTCATAAATATTGTTTTGATTATTATATTATATTATATTATATTATATTATATTATATTATATTATATTATATTATATATTAAGTATGATTTTTTCCCTGTGTTTGTATGCCTTAGCATGTCATATCATCTTGTGTTTCTGTGAATATTCTTTAAATAGGTTTGTTCATATCTTTCAGTGGCCTGACCGAATCTTTCATTGTGAGAGTGGAGTCACTGCGCTGGATTTCTCAGCTTGTAATGCCAGTCAGTTGGTAGTAGGCATGTATGATGGCACCATTGCCTTCTATAATGTACAGACTCTTTCTGTGTACTGTACAGAGCCATCTGTTATGTTACAGACACCCATCATTGACAGCAGGTGGGGCTGTGAGCATTCCTTTTTTTGATCAGCTACAGGAAGTTACAGGTTGTAACATAGTTACAATAGGTTTTTATACATCAGTGGTTCTCAATTAGTGGGTTGAGACCCCCCACCACCAAAAAAATAAAAATAAATAAAAACATCTAAAATTGTATGCATATAGTTAGGGTAGCAATATAAATATACTTTAGAGAAATCAAAGACCATACATTCAACCAAATTCTAATTTGTCTAAAATCTAGCCAAATTAGGTAAATGTCAACATCTGCCTATTTATTCCTCATATTCAGAAGATTCATTTATAAGACTGGTAAATTACACTTATGTATGTAATTTTGCATATTGCATTTGTTTTTTATGATATGGAATTCACGAGAATTTATAAATTTCCATGAGTGATTTTAAGTAATTTTTGTTTACTTCTGTATGATAAACAATTTTGGTACTATGTTGTCACTTGTTAAAAAAAAAAAATGTAAATAAATTAATAAATAAGCAAAACCAGTTGAGAATCACTGATCTATATAACCTGAAAGTCATTTGGTGCCTTTATGGAGCGAATGCACATCAAAACTGTATTTTTGATCAAATTCATTATTGTAGAAATATTACAAAGATCCTTATACAGTTGCATAAACTTAGTTAAGATGGTGTCTTAAGAACTAGTTTGACCAACTAGCAGTTAGCCAAGGGGTAATGACTCATTCTTTTATTCAAATGAGACCAATCTACATTTTTTTGTAACAGTGATGATCAATGATTTTTTGAACAATGATGATCAGTCTTAAAGAAAAAAATTAGATGCCTAACTTGTAAGACTAGTCTAAGCATTTTATGTAACTGGCCACAGATCTTTATTTTTTTAGTGCTCCTTATGCTGTTGAATCTGAATTTGAGTTGACAGGATTGAAGTCATTGCAATATTGGAACACTGTTTGTGTACACAGTGACTGCGCTGACATGCACACGTGTCCAGTGTGGCAGCTCAGATGGGTGGATCATGAGACAGGTCTGACTGGAGAGGATAAAGGGGAAATGCTCATCTCTGTATCAGGTGATGGAAAAATCAGCAAATGGATCCAATACAAAGGCCTGGAATGTGTTAGTATGTTCAAATGGAAAAAAAGTCATCACTTAATCACCTTTATATTTTTCCATTTTTCACTCTAACACAAAATAAGAACAAAAAAAAATGCCTTTAAATTTCATATTAAAGTCATATTTGTATTAAGGAGCAATCACGTTTACCTATGCTCTTATGAAATTTTTGCAGGCAAAATCCAGTCATTTCAGTAGGAATCTGTGTGATTGCGAGTCTTGCATAAGGACAGAAAAGTTCCCATGCAGATGTGATTACACCTTAATAATGTACAAACAGGGCCTAAAACTAACATTTTGCCACACCTGCAATGGCCGGTAAATAAATATTTTTTAAAGACTATGAAACATTTATGTATGTAGGCCTATTTATTTATTTATTTATATAACACTGTTTTATATACCTGCCAACGCTGATTTTTACTCACATTTGGAGCTTGGACAGTGTAAATTTTAGGCCCTGTGTACTAATATATATCATGAGGATACATTGAGACTATAGCACAATACTGACAAGTTTAGCTGCTTTTAGTTAAAATAGCCTAATTTCTGTATGTTTGAGCCATGTGTTGACTAATTTGTAATTTGCCTGAGTTAAATCTGATGAAAGTAAAGTTGCCTAACATGATAATGAACAACCAGCGGTGGAACCCGAAGATCTTATCCCTGGCTCCGGGACTGTGTTTCGGTTTCCATCCTAATGTGAGGCCTACATTGAGACTTGTTGTTAGCTCTTGCACATGCCTATATTGAGGCTTGTCAATATTCGACAGGATTCAAAAATCTACCTGGCTGGAACAGAGGAAGGTCATAATGTGCTCTTATTCATATGAGCAATTCTTGGGAACTTACAAAGCCCACACAGTATGTAAAAATGTTTGTCTCATTTTTAAAGTGCCTTAAATGCTTATTGTTGCAAAACCGGGTTCTTCATGTATCTTTAAGCATTGAAACTTTCTTTTCTTTCTCATCTATTCACTCTGCACCTTCCCCCATGGGTCCAGTCTATAAGGTAACATGGTCACTGTTCTGTCCTGACATTTTGCTAAGTTGTTCTTCAGATTGGACTATTTATCTGTGGAGGCAGGACCTCCCGAAACCTGTGCTGGGGTTCACCTCTGGTCAGAAGGTTGTGTTTGATATCATGTGGTCCCCACACTGTGCTACTGTCTTTGGAGCTGTCAGTGAGGGCAAGGTGGAGATCTGGGACCTGAGAGTCAGCAGGTAAGATCTTATGTTCTTCTATTGAATAACGTTTATCATTTATAATAATAATAACATTATTAACAACTAATATGGGTTTTTCATTTTATTTTAACATAATTTTTGGTGCTCAGTCTTTCTGTCCAGAAGTTTACAGTGTACTCCATTTTTTAACAGTCTGGACCTGACGATTGTGAGCATGACCAGTCCAGGAGTGAATCCGACGGCTCTGCTGTTCACCCCTGAGACAGACTGTGTTCTGGTGGGGGACAGTGAGGGGCAGGTCACTGTGAACAAGCTGAAGAACCTGCCAGCTGGAGGCAGCACACAGGTGAAGCCTTATCTGTTCAGTTCTATGTTGTTCGATCTGTGCCATACTCCAAGTAACCCATTTACTCAAATGTGGAAATCATTTATAGCTCTTGTGTAGGTGGAAATGTTGGAGGATGTAATTCGGTCCACACTGTCCAGCCAACACACATTAGGAAAGACTGACGGAGGTGCATAGGAGGGTCAGGCTGTTTGTCTTTACCTCTTCATCATCATAATTTATATTCTCTGGCAGACTGAGCGACTCCATTTTACATAACAATGGGATTACAGCACATTGCCTGTTTGTGCCTTATTGTGCTTCTTTGTGGGAATAAATATACTCCTACAAAACAATAAGCAATCTTCTTAGGTAAATGTCTAAAAACCTAGACTAAATGTCTAAATCTTCCACTTAATTATAGTATGGTGAATTATTTGTAATAACAGAGATAACAGGCTTGTATTTCAAACAATATATTTTTGAAAGCATTTTTGCATTTAAGTATTGATTGGTAAGGAACACATTTTTTCCCACAATAGTCAAAGTACTATACTGTATTGTCATATGGTAATGTTTTTTTTTCTTTCCATGGGAACCACAGACAGAATGTAAGTGTTTGTTCTATGGTAATGGACAGACAGTTTTATTACCACTAGGCCGCCACATATTACAGCTTATCTACAACATGAGGACCACATCACACTTTTAGAAATGACTCATTACTGAACTGTTTTTCTCTCTAACATCTCTGAAAAATCCATCATCTAAGCTTTTTAGTACAAATCAAACAATTTAGCGAGGAAGATGCAACTCAGCTTAAATAAGGGAGCTTTTAAAAAGAACAGCTGTGACATTATGACAGGAAATGGATCCTGCTTGTTTACTAATGTATATGGGACTTTTTATCCATATGGCATATGGTAATTTTACATTTTAAAACACTTTCCCACATGGGGTTTTGTGTTGAAGGACAAGTTGATGTTCATAAATATTGTTTTGATTATTATATTATATTATATTATATTATATTATATTATATTATATTATATTATATTATATATTAAGTATGATT